AACCAAAAAAAAAAAAAAAAAAAAAGGAATTGGCCATTTCCATAGTGGATTTTCTCCATCTCTTTAATTCAAAACTGGAAATCTCAAGTATCTCATAGACTTATTTATATGCACAGTCTGTACATATTTCTCAAATCATAACCCTTAATATACAAACATTGACTATATTTTAATATAGTACAACTTAATCTGTAATGCTATTTTGGTCTTCTTCTCTGCCCGCAGCAGAAGCTTAACCTAGTTATATTCAAATAAACCCAGTCGAGTTCAACCATTTCTCTATCAATTCAATTTAAGCATTCAGTAACACACAGACTTCTTCCCCTTGCCCATTTCTGCCCTTCCTTGCCTCCCCTCTGTCTGCTCCCAACACTTGGTAAGGGAATAATAAGGGCAGAGGCAGCACTGATCGGGAGAGATCACTTTCTGGGTTTTGGTGCTAAAACAATATCTTCCTGCGAATTGAGAGCGGGAGGCTTCTCAAGTAGTGGGTCTATTATTGCTAATGTAGAATGGCTCTTATTTGAGAAAATTACATTTGGACCAGGAGATTGATCTGAACTAGATGTAGATTATAAGACAGCAACAATGTTTCCCACTAATATAGAGCATAAACCTGGGTCCTACTGTCCTTTTTTTGAATGAACTGTTCCAATAGTGCAGCGTCGAGCTAATCCTAGACTCCTCACCCACCCATTTTTTTATTATCTCTTTCTGAACAAACGCTTCATTTGTTTCGATCTGTTTTGCTTCGGGTTTTTTTTTTGTTTTGTTTTTTTGTTTTGAGACAAGTTCTCATCATATAGTTCTGGCTGGCCGTGAACTCATTAGGCATCTCAGGTTGGTTTCAAACTTATGGCGATCCTCCTGCCTCAGCTTCTTGAGTACTGGGACTACAGGCGTGTGCTGCATACCTGTCAGTTTCTGAGCACTTCAATCTATCTATGAGATGGAAGTTCAAGGAAGATCCTGATGGGAGATGCTAACTGGGCCATGTGCTGTTCAAAAGTGAACTCCTATTTATAGTAATTCATCGGTCAGATAAAGCATTTTGTAGCTGGTTGATGGGGTGCTCTGTGAAGAGCTGGCTGTAGCTAATTACTGCTATCCAAGAAATGTTACTAGGGATATGAATCAGAGTTGTGAGTTTGGGAGTTAGCTGTATCTAGGGAGGAGATACAGATAAGAGAGGAACTAAGACACAGTGTCAAATCCTTGGGAACACCAGCTTTCAGGAGTCCAGTAGGGGAAATGGCAAAGGAGATCACCTTAATCACTTTTCTCATCACTGGGCCAGAATACCCAACACCCACAACTTAAAGGAGAGGTTTATTTGGGTTCACAATTTTAGTCCATGGTTGGCCAGCTCGGAGGCAGAAAGGCACAGCAGAAGGGACTGGTGGAGGGGAGCAGCTCACATCATGGAGGTCAGGAATTAGGGAGAGAAAGGAAGAGATGTGGAGGGAGATGCAGGGGAGATCACACTCCCCTGGCTCACCTCTTCTGCCTCCTAACACTAAACAGTCACAGCATTCCATTGTCCACTCCCCCTGCAAAGACCCTGCCTGTGAGTATGTGAGGCCCTTAGGGGTCATCCTCAATGTCACCTATAACAGAGGCTGAGTTGGAAAAGAATGTAGGAGGTAGTCCATCCTAAGAAAACTGTACTTTAAAAAAGTCTATACTTATAAAATAAATACATCAGGAGTTCATTCTTAACTTGCAAAAGGAAAGTTACAGGCTTCGTATAACTGACCAGCACTCTGGAGTGTTTAAGGAATGATGCGATTTATCCCAGATTTCCGTCACAGCTTTTCTGTGTTATATCATTTGCCTAAAATGAGGTACACCTGCACATGCATTTCAACTTATGTGGCCATTCCTCTTGCAAGGAATATGTTTCTTCTCATACTGATTATACAGAAGAATCACTCAGGAGGCGAGTGGTCTGAGAAGGTCTGAACACCTAATTGCTGCTTTGGCCTTGGGTTGCATCCATGGTAATCAGCTTCCAGTATTCCTGCTCAGAAAGTTGCCTAGACCTGAGGATAATGTGATCTCTGCTCTGTTACACTAGAGGGGTCTCTCCTATGTATCACTGTGCAGAGAAAGGATTGAAGGAAGGTGAGACTGAAACCAAAGAGAACAGGTTGGAAGCCGTGATCCAACACAAAGACCATGAGAGCCTGGACTATGGCCTGGGCCATGGGCTGAGAAGGGGATGGACGGTAGAGCTGTGTTTAGAAATTTCAGAAAGATGAAAGGTAAAGAAGAGGGAGGAGTTAAGGGTAACTCTAGATGTCTGGTTTGGCCAATCAAGTTGATGGTGATGCCATTTTCAGACCTAGGAAGACAGGGGAATGAAAAGATAACCCAGGGATAAAACTAAGAAATACACAGGGAATTGTTAACTTGATGATATCTGAAACATTCAAGCGAAGATGCCAAAAAGCCACTTGTATAAGTGAATTTAAAGCTCAAAGGAGATGGTTGAGCTATAGCTGTAAACATGGGCACCATCAAGAGCAAGAAGGAACAAAAATGGATTCAAGATCATCAGCAACTACAGTAGAGACAAAGAGAAGTCAACAAAGGAGACTGAGGAGGAGCAATTAGTGGGTACAAGGAAATCAAATCATAGAACCATGCGTACTGATTGACTCCAGAAGACAATGATAATTCTGTTGAATGTTGCTGGTTAGTTGAATTGGATAGGAAAGAAAGTAATCATGCCTTGTGGAAACATGGGCATCACTGGCAATCTTGAAAGGAACTGTTTCACCAAAGCAATGGGGCAGAAGCCAGGGAGATGGGCACGGGCTATAGAGTAAATGACAATGGAGAGTGTACATGGCAGGTATCACCAGTTCCTTTAAGAAGACATCCTGTAGAGGCTCAGTGTTGATGTGAAGGTCAAAGGAGATTTTTTTAAAAAAAAAAACAGGAGAAGGAGAATGTGGATGTGATTTTATGATGATGAAGATGAACCAGGAAGTAGAAATTTACTTCCCAGAAGGAGGCAAGCAGCTCATAGCCTTGGCTGCAAATTGTAATCATTTAGAGAGCTTTATACCCCACCAGTGACTCTGTGCTCCCATGCAGATGTTCTGATGGAATTGGTCTAGAGTACCACCCCGCCTTCAGGTTTTTTCCAAAGTTCTGTGGGTAATTCTTGAATCTTGGTTGAGGAACGAAATCCTAGAGTGAATGGGGCTTCAGGAACAGGTGAAAGGCCCATGAGAGAGAGCCTGCCCATTGAGCTGGGAAAGAGACACAGTAGGAAAGGTGGTGAAGATTTTCTAGATTTGGTGGAAAGAGGACGAGGTTGTTGCTGTTTTGAGATTTATCTTTCTCTGTGAAGAATAAAGCAAAGTCTTATGTTGAGAGCAAGCACGAAGGAGGGAATGTGGGGGCTTGTAGGGGAAGATATGAAATAGTCATGTGGGGAGTACAAGGTGAGCTTCTCACAGATCAAGGCAGGTGGCCCTCTCTGCTCTCTAGAACATAGGGAAAGTGGCCACATTGCCCTCAGTCCCTTGGCCTGTGGAAGTCTGAGCCTTTCTGGGAATTTCTGGGGTATCTCTGTCCCTGTAACAGTAGGATTTTTTAACTTCCTGTACTACTTACCCTTGTGACACCCCAAATGAAAAATTCAACCCTTCTTCAATTTTAATAGTATCTTCAACCATAGCAAAAGACAGTTACACAAAAATATCTGTGAATGTCTCTAGACTTTATTGTAGTTTAGTATGGACAGTAAGAGGTAGAAGGACTGTCTCTATGGTTCTCAGACCTGGAGGACTTCGGTATGACCAGAAGGGCTTGTTAAGACAGATTTGTATGAATAGGTCTGAGGTCAGACCTTAGCATCTGCATGTCTAAATAGTCCCCAGGGTGTGCTGATGCTACCAGGTAGGACCACACTTGGCAAACCATTGGTTTACATGATAATCTCAAAACAATAATAATAAAGCACAGAAGGGTATACTTTATTGTCTTAGTTACTTTTCTCATTGCTCAGACAAAATACCTGACACACACAAGTTAAAGGAGGAAAGATTTATTTTTGGCTCACAGTTTGTAGAGGTTTCAGTTGATAGTTGACTGGCTCCAAGGCAGGGTGGCATGGCAAAGGGAGGTCTCAGAGGAGAAACAGCCCAAGGATAAACAGGCAGGAGGCAGCAAGCAGTGAAGGAGCATTGACAAGCCTTGCCTTCCCTTTTATACCGTCCAGGCTATAAGTCTTTTGGGTAGAGCCATCCATATCCAGGGTGGGGCTTTCCATTATCCATATCCAGAACCCTGATAACCAATCAGTGGACTAATTTAGCTATCACACCCCTAATCTAATCTATATTCACACACCCTTAATCTACCTTCACTTGCCCTAGATCCATTCACCTCTCAAAGTTCCACCTATGAGTGCACAAGGCTTTGGGGGGAACGTCTAGATATAAAG